AGCATGTGTCAGGATTTCCTTTCTTTTTAAGGCTGAATAATAAGTATTCCATGGCGCATATATAGCACATGTTATCTATCATTCATCTATCAGTGGATGCCTGGGTTGCTTCCACCTTTTGGCTATTTTGAATAATAGTGCTATAAACATTGGTTGACAAATATCTGTTCACATCCCTGCTTTCTCTTCTTTAGAGTATATATACCCAGAAGTGGAACTTTTGGGTCACATAGTAATTCTATGTTTCATTTTTTGAGGACGCTGTACCATTTTCCATAGACACTCTACCATTTTCCATTCCCACCAGCAATGCACAGAATTCCAATTTCTCCACATCCTTGACAACACTTGTTATATAATCACATATATATTGTATTTTAAAATATTTTTTATGATAGCTATTGTAATGAGTGTACGGTGTTATCTCATCATGGTGGGGTTTTTTTTTACGTTTATTCATTTTTGTTTATTTATTTTTTAGCTGTCTCTACACCCAGTGAGGGGCTCAAACTTATGACCCTGAGATCAAGAGTCTCATGCTTTTGTGACTAGGCCAGCCAGTCACCCCTCATTGGAGTGGTTTTTGTTTTGTTTTTAGTGTTTATTTTTGAGAGAGAAAGAACACAATTAGAGGAGAGGCAGAGAGAGAGAGAATCTGAAGCAGGCTCCAGGCTTTGAGCTGTAGACAGAGCCTGACTCAGGACTCAGACTCCACTGTGAGATCATGACCTGAGTGGAACTCAGGCTTAACCACCTGAGCCACCTAGATGCCCCCCTCACTGCGGTTTTGATGTGCATTTCCCTAATAATTGGTGATGTTGGGGGGATCTTTTTATTTCCTTATTGGCCATTTGAATATCTTTGGACATATGTTTTTTGCTCATATTTAAATCAGATTGTTTTTCATTACTACATTGTGGGAATTTTTCATATATTTTAAGTATTGTAAGGTTTTTAGATACATGATTTACAGATATTTGTTCCCAGTCCATGGATTGCCTTTTTACTCTTAATAGTGTCCTTTGATGCACAGAAGTTTTTTAATTTTGATAATGTCCACAATATATCTATTTTTTCTTTTGTTGCCTGGCTTTCTTAGTCGTATCCAATAAATCATTACATTAATTAATTAAATCCAATATTGTGAAAAATTTTCCTATGTTTCTTTTAAGAGTTTTATAGTTTTAGTTCTTACATTTGGATCTGTGATACATTTTGAGTTAATTTTTCTATATGGTATTAGGTAAAGATCCAACTTCATTCTTTTGCATATGGATATCTACTTTTCCCAATACTATTTATTGAAAGGACTGTCCTTTTTCCCATTGAATGGTCTTGGTTATTCCTGTTGAAAATTATTTGACCATATATGTGAGGGTTTCCATCCTATGTCACTGGTCTAGATATCTGCCTTAATGGTAGTACCACACTGTTTTGATTACCATAGCTTTGTAATAAGTTTTGAAATCAGGAATTGTGAGACCTCCAACTTTGTTCTTTTTCAAGACCGTACCTTCAGTGGCGTCTGGGTGGCTCAGTCAGTTAAGTATCCAACTTCAGCGTAGGTCATGATCTCATGGTTTGTGAGTTCGAGCCCTGCTTCAGGTGAGCTTAAAGGAGCCCCACTTTGGGTAAGCTTGAAGGAGTCCCGCTTCAGGATCTGTGCTGTCAGTGTGGGATTCTCTCTCTCTCTTTCCCTCTGTTCCTCATGGGATCTCTCTCTCCCTCTTTCTCTGCCCCTTGTTCACTTGCACTTGCTCTCTCTCAAAAACAAAAACCAAAATGACTGTTCCTTCAGATTCTGTGTGTATTTTATGATGAATTTTTCTATTTAAAAAAATATCATTGGATTTTGATAAGGATTCCATGGACTCTATATATCACGTTAGGCAATATTGACATCTATATTGGTCAGCTGAGGTCATAACTCCTCACAGTTATGGAGGCTGGAATTCTGAGATCAGGATGTCAGCATAGTTAGTTTCTATTTGGGCTCTCTTCTGGGCTTACAGATGCCTACATTTTTGCTGTATGTTCATAGAGAGAGAGAAAACAAGCTCACTCCCGTGTCTCTTCCGCAATGGCCCTGTCTTCAAATACAGTGACATTAGGAGTTAGGACTTCAACACATGAATTGGGAGTGGACAACCCAATTCTGGTGGGGAAGAGAGAAGTGTTAGGCAGGCTCCACACTCAGCACAGAACCCAATGAGGGGCTTAATCCCTCAACCCTGGGATCATGACCTGAGCCATAATCAAGAATTGGACGCTCAACCAACTGAACCACCCAGGTGCTATATCCCATAAGATTTTCAAAGAAATTCATGACCCCTGAAAATTTAAAACTAAGGATCATAATACCTGATAATAGCCTTTGAGATATCCCAAATATGTACCCAATAGTAGGGAAAGAGAAGAGGAATGTTCCATCATCTATTATATTCACCCAGCTAATAAAAAATGTTTACAAAGCTTTAATCAGAAAAATGAAAAGGATGTCATAAACAAAATGATAAATTAAAAAGTGCTCAGGTTTTGATTATGTGGAAACTAATTTGACAATAAACTATTTGTAAAAAAAAATAAAATAAAATAAAAATAAAAAGTGCTCAGGTTTTGCAAAGATCCTACCCAAAAATCTTATAATTAGTGTTTGGAGAAGAAGCTTACTGTGTGTCTGACACCATTCTTTCTACTTTATATATGCTGTTTTATTTAATTTGAACTTTCTTGAAAGTTGGTCAATCACAAAATATTTCTGATAAGGGGGCGCCTGGGCGGCTTAGTCGGTTAAGCGTCCGACTTTTGCTTGGGTCATGATCTCACGGTTCGTGGGTTCGAGCCCCGCGTCGGGCTCTGTGCTGACAGCCAGCTCAGAGCCTGGAGTCTGTTTCAGTCTGTGACTCCCTCTCTCTCTGACCCTCCCCTGCTCACACTGTCTCTCTCTCTCTCCTAGAAATAATTAAAAAAAAAAATTTAAAAAAATATTTCTGATAAGGAAGCTATACCAATGTACCAAGAAATATGAATCAACATTTAAAATACTGTTGAAGAGGGGCGCCTGGGTGGCTTAGTCGGTTAAGCGTCCGACTTTCGCTTAGGTCATGATCTCGTGATTCGTGGGTTCGAGCCCCGCGTCGGGCTCTGTGCTGACTGCCAGCTCAGAGCCTGGAGCCTGCTTCAGATTCTGTGTCTCTCTCTCTCTCTCTGACCCTCCCCTGCTCACACTGTCTCTCTCTCTCCTAGAAATAAAATAAAACATTAAAAAAAATAAAAATAAAATAAAATACTGTTGAAGAGCTTTTAGTTGTTATTGGTTTCAATCACACTAATTTCCTTTCTTGATTTCATTCATGTCATAGACATTGTCTCAATTTTCCTAATTTTTCTACTGCCAGGAAAAGAAATACTAGCTACAACAATATTTATTTTTGGTTTGGTTTGGTGGGTTTTTGGGGGGTTGGGTGTTTTTGTTTTTTTGTTTTTTGAGACACACACACACACACACACACACACGGGGAAGAGTGGAGGGAGAGAGAGAGAGGAAGAATCTTAAGTGGGCTCTATGCCCAGTGCTGGAGCTCAAAGCCAGGGCCCAATGCAGGGGACCTGATGCAGGGCTCAGTCTCAAAACTGTGAGATCATGACCTGAGCCAAAATCAAGTGTCTGATGCTTAACCAACTGAGCCACCCAGGTGTCCCTGGTTATTTATTTTTAAATGGAAACAATTTTTCTTATGAAAAATATAAGGTTAATGTAAAAATAGAAACTAAACTTGGTAAAACTTCCTTCATCCAGAAATAAATATTTTTACTATTTTGGGGGATATACTTCAAATATTTTTCTGTGGGATTTTATAGAGGGGTATCACTTGTATATAAGTTCTGTAACTTGCCTTATTTAATAATACATTACATGGTAATGTTGTATTTTATAATCACTATGTAGTATTTCATTATATGGGGTACCTGAGTGGCTCAGTCAGTTACACGTCCGGCTTCAGCTTAGGTCATGATCTAGCAGTCTGTGAGTTTAAGCCCCACATCTGGTCCTGTGCTGACAGCTCAGAGCCTGGAGCCTGCTTTGGATTCTGTGTCTCCCTCTCTCCCCTCCTCCCCACTTGAACTCTATCTCTCAAAAGCGAATAAATATTAGTATTTCATTATCAAAATAACCCTAATTTTTTCATTTTATTGCCTACTAAAGAGAATTTTTTTAAGTCATGGTCTCTGTGTGCCTGATTGGCTTAGTTGGTGGAACGTTCGACTCTTGATCTCAGGACTGTGGGTTTGAGCCCCATATTGGGTGTGGAGATTACTTAAGAGGAAAAATAAAAGTTATAGTCTCTATTTACTTTTAAAGTGCAAATAATATAATAGGTGAGACAAAAGTAGTACACAGATATTCAAAATAAAGGATGATAAAGGGCACTAGCTTACCCTGATAGTAATGCTGTGAGAATTCATAAGAGGGAGATACCTTGTGTGACCAGAACAGTCAATGTCATACCATGTGTAAGTCAAACTGATCTCATAAGAGCTCTGGATATTAGTTTTCTTGAATCCTATAGAAGACATGCGGTTTTTTATTTTAATTTTTTAAATGTATGTTTATTATTTTGAGATAGAGAAATTTGAGTGAGCAGGGGAAGGGCAGAGAGAGAGGGAGAGAGAGGATCTAAAACAAGCTCTTTGTTGTGTCGTTGCAGAGCCGGATGTGGGGCTCAAACCCACAAGCCATGAGATCATGGCCTGAGTCAGATGCTTCACTGACTGAGCCACCCAGGCACTCAAAGACTTGCAGTTTTCATTCTAATGATCTGGAATCCAAAGTATGACCAATGGGGCAAGAGAAGTTTGTAACTCTTTAGAGAACAGTGGGGCAGGTGCGGAAGCATAATAGACGCATCTGGCAAGAAGAGCTGAAAGGAAGCACTGTTATGCACTGTTACACATAATGTAGATACATGATATACTAATGACTTTTCATTCTGTTGCAGGCAGGACTACAGCACACATGAATATAGTTACCAAATCAAGAAGTTTGCAACTACTGGGAGCTGACGAAACAAAAACAAAAGCCATTCTATGAAAATACAACTGTTTTTAGAATATCCTAAGCTATTATTTTATGTTCAAGGGAAGATTGCGTAAAAAAAGTAAGTATTTTCTTTTTCATCTGCTACTTAGGAATAGCTTATGTTCAACAGAACTTAAAAATAATTTAAAAATTAATATGTAATTATTGAAAAAAAATACACTTTAGGAAAACGAAGAACATTGAAGATCACAGCCTGAAATAACCAAAATAATCTTTAAGGATAAAACTTCCTAGACATTTTTCATGTAATTTGTCTGTATTGATGTATTTGTGTGTTTTACAGCTAGGACCACATGATACCCTGCTGTTTTGTAACCTGTTTTTTTTCTTTTTATTTAACCATATCTGCAACATTTTTATGTTATTAACTATTATATTACTACTAAATTTGTAGTACTTAGAATTACTGTTTTATAGAAATCTTTCATTTATTTAAGCTCCCTGCTTTTTTTTTTTTTAATGTTTTTTATTTTTTTCTAGGAGAGAGAGAGAGAGACAGCGTGAGCAGGGGAGGGTCAGAGAGAGAGGGAGTCACAGACTGAAACAGGCTCCAGGCTCTGAGCTGGCAGTCAGCACAGAGCCCGACGCGGGGCTCGAACCCACGAACCGCGAGATCATGACCCGAGCGAAAGTCAGACGCTCAACCGACTAAGCCACCCAGGCGCCCCATTAAGCTCCCTGCTTTTATCTAACTCAGAAAACTAAATATTGCCTGAGAATGTATATATCTCATTGTAATGATTTTTGGTTGATGTTTATACTGGGGAAATGTATGTTTACATCAATAAAATTCAATGCATCATTTAAAATACAAGGGGGCGCCTGTGTGTCTCAGTCAGTTGGGCATTTGACTTTGGCTCAGGTCATGATCCCGCGGTTCATGGGTTCAAGGCCTGCTGTCTGTGCTGACAGCTCAGAGCCTGGAGCCTGCTTTGGATTCTGTGTCTCCCTCTCTCTGCCCCTCCCCTACTCATTCTCTCTCTCTCTCTCTCTCTGTCTTAAAAATAAACATAAAAAATATATATAATTAATAAAACATCAATCATGCAAATATTTTGACAGGTATATATATTGGTGTGTTAAAAGGGATATGCAGATGGTCATGGCACTCAGAGCAACTGGTGTTAATAATTTGTGATCAAGAAGTAATGTTTTAAGAAAATTTCAATCTAATACAATTTTATTATATGTAGATATTTTGTTGTGTTCAATTATGTTTTGGGAAATTGTTTGGGTGCTTTGTGTTAAAATGCAATGCATTATGTTTTTCACATTTTAAATAGTGGGGAAAAGTCTCTAGTTAGAGTTCTTGTGCAGAATGATTGCTTTTAACGAATAGATTACTAATGTTAAGGTGGAAATACCTCTATATGTCTAATTCTTATGATCTGGCAACTTCTCCCAGGTCCACTGGCCTCTAAAGAATAAGAATATCTGTCAATTTAGATAGAGAAAATCTAGAGATGTAGTTTCAAGCTTTACCAAGTGGTATATAGATGGCTAAACTTTGCCCAGAAGAATTGTACAAAGATTTGATGGTAGGATCTGGAGAAGCATGGTTTTGCTAGGTCAAGATCAACTTATCCTATAACTCATAATCTACCTCTTTGGGGCCTTGTCTTTCACATTGTGTGTTTGTGAAAAATCCCTTTGAGGTGTATGAAGTTGGATATTAACAGCTCTGCTCTGTTATTTCTGAAGTTTCCTCTGACTTTTTTTTTCTAATGTTTGTTTATTTTTGAGAGAGGGAGAGAGTGACAGAATGTGAGCATGGGAGGGGCAGAGAGATGGGGAAACAGAATCTGAAGCAGGCTCCAGGACCTGGGCTGTCAGCACAGAACCCGATAAGGGGCTTAAACCCATGAACTGTGAGATCACGACCTGAGCCAAAGTCATACAATTAACCAACTGAGCCACCCAGGCGTCCCTCTTCTGGCACTTTAAGAAAGTGTTCTTTCTCCCACTGACCACAGGCCAGAGTCTGAATTTTTATATAATTGGAGTATAACTGAATTCATGTATTAGTTAGGACAGGCTGTTATGCTGTGGTAGCAAACAACCCCCAAATCATAATGGCTTACAGAATAGCTTTTTATTAATTTGATCATGCTACATGTCCCCTGTGCAGTCTGTGTAGGCAGAGTCCCAGACCAAAGCAGACTCCACCAATCTATAGCTATACCATCTGAAACACATGGTCCTCTTGGCCACACATCAGGGAATAGAAAGATTGGAGAATTATGCAGTCTTGCCAGTGCCTCCCATCACCTCAGCTCAGATTCCATAGGCCAAAACCAGCTTATGGCCTTGCCTAACCGCAAGGTACTGGAACATGTCATCTATGTGCGCAAAAGGAGAGGAAAACCAGATAATGGTGAAATAGTAGTAATTCGGTTAACATTTGCCACACTGGCTAAGACTCATTTCTTTTTGTGTGTTTAGGAAGTTGCTTCTGTAAATTAAATGTGATTTCTTTTTGGAGCAAGGAGGATATCCCTGGATTAAGGGTTGACAAGAGGTGTGTGCACAGGTGAGTGAGGACACTAACAAAAATGGATGGCTTTCATATGAAAGCTCACTTCTCTGGGCAGTTGGGAGCTTTAAGTTTTTGTTTGAGAACAAGCCCCTCAAAGGCTCTAGAACTATAGAGAAAATCAAGCTCCTTTAGCATGCAAGTTCCCCAAAACACCGCACTGTCACTCATGAATCATTCCATTCATATTTCCCTTTATAATTCACCCCCTAAATTATAAGAGGAAGGTATAAATTATTTATGATTATAAATCATATGCTTAAGGGAAAACTTGAAAATATAGGAAAAAACAGATTCCCCCTGTAATTATACACACAGAGACTAATGTTGTAAAAACATAATTGAAAATCCTGTCAGTCCCTCTTCTGCACACACACATGCATATATAGAACATATGTATATTTTTCCTATAAAAGTAGGATTACACTACACATACAATATCCATTAACTACCTTTTTTGCCCAAGATTGTTTAACATCTTAACATCTACAAATAAATGTGTTCATTTTATGGCAACAGTGTTCCCATTGTGTGGATATACTGTAATTTATTTAACCTGTCCTCCTTTTTAAATTCTTTTCGAAGTTGTTTCCAATGTCAAGAGTGTCTCTGTAGCCCACACACATCTTTTGGATAGTCTCAGCTGTGGAATCGCTTCATCAGAGAACATACACAGTCAAGTTCTGCTAACATTGCCTTGTTGGAAGTTTACATGGCTACAGCCCATGTGTCTGTGATACGTAATAATAATCTCAAGTATTAGAGTCTAAAAGAGAACTCATAATTGGTTTATTCAAACCTGCTCCTCTCAGGGTTCTTTATGTTAAAAAATGACAGCTTCATACTTCCATTTCCTCAAGCCAAACACCTTAACATCATCGTGGCTTTTTTTTTTTCCCCTTTTCTTTGTTTTCCTTTTCTTTTGTACCTAAAATCAACAAATTCCATCAGCTCTACCTTCAGAGACTCTCTTGTCTGATCAGGTCTCATCACTCCCCCCATCACCATCCCTAATTGCAAGCCACCCTCACCCCTTGCCTGGATTATTGCAGTTACCTACCTTCTCACTGGTCTCCCTGCTTCCCTTCCCTTGTCTTCTTAGTTCACCTTCTTTGCATGATCCTTTTAAATGTAAATCAGAGTATGCCATTCCTTGTCTTAAAACTTGAGTGGCTTCCTGTCTTATTCAAGAGTAAAAAGCAAAGTTCTTAGTGGCCCACAAGCCCCTTGTGATCCAGCTTCCAGTCACCTTTCTCACCCAAATGAGCTTCTGACCTTTCTCTTGCACACTACATTTCAGACACCCTAGTCTCCTTTATTAAAGAAAATCTGCTCCTGCCTTGAGGCCTTTGCAGTTCCCTATAGTAGTTCCCTATACTCTTAGATACCTGCATTTATCACTCCATTCAGTCTGCTCTTACATATCACCTTCTCAATGAAAAGCCTTCTCAGGCCACCTTCCATTTCCCCAGAGCTCCTTATCCTCTTACGCTTCTTAACTTTTTTACATAGAACTTTGGCCACCTGACATATAGACAGTTATCAATGTCAGTATATCAATATTTGTTATTGTCTCTTTCCATTAGAATGTGAGATCCACTGGGACAGGGACTGGATTTATTATCTTCCTCATACCTAGAACCATGCCAATTGAGGTAGGAGCTCAGTAAATCTGAAAAAAAATTGGCTCCTCTTTCTCAATCTCCATATCTAATCAGATGCCAGTGCGTGTTGATTTTACCTCTGTACACCTTGAAATTATACCCTTCCTCCTGATCTCCACTGCCATTATCCTTCCTCAGGTTCTTTGTTTGCTTGCAAAAGTATAAGCACCTTTCAGTTGATCTCTATGACTCCAGTTTTATTCCTCTCCAATAAAATATTCTGGCCATATTGGCCCTATCACTTCCCTCTTTAAATTCTTCAATGGCCTCCCACTCATTAATGGGTAAAAAACAAACATTTATATATTTAGTTAGTAGTCATTGGACCCTTCTCCTCCAGACAGCATGGCAGTGCCATTCAAAGTGATGATTATTCCTGGTCTTTGTCCTCATTGTTATTTTATTTCATTCATTAGCCTTCATTTTCCAACCCCTGATGTCATCTCCAGCATAAACTTCCTCTAGATTCTGAAACTAATTAAATTTAAATATAATTTAAAATTTAGAAAAAAAAATTCAGTTCCTTAATCCTACTAGGCACTTTTAACATGCTTAGTGTATGTGGCTAATGCCAAATTATTGACAGTACAGATGTGAAGATTTCCATCATTGCAGAAAGATTTGGTGAACAGCACTGGTCTAGACCTTTCCCCAAACTATCCAAGTCATTCCAAATTATTCTCTGCTCCCCAAATATATATATTTTTTTGGTCCACTGTTTTTGTCACTTTTCTTCATAGATCAGAATACTCTTTTGTACCTTTTCTGCCTATTAAAATTCTCTGATTTTGAAGTCCTAGTTCATATTCTACGACTTATAGGATATTTTCCTTGACACAACTGCCATTGAGTAAATTCTCAAATTCTTCTCACCCACCCACCGACAAACCATGGGAAGCTTCTTGCACCTCTGATTAGAACGAGTCCTATCTTCCTTAAAACCCCTGAGTTCTCAGGGCACCTGGGTGGTTCATTTGGTTAAGTGTCCAACTCTTGATCTCAGTGCAGGTCATGATCTCACAGTTTGCGAAATTGAGCCCCACATCCAGCTCTGTGCTGACAGCTCAGAACCTGCTTGAGATTCTCTCTTCCTGTCTCTCTGTCCCTCCCCTTTGCTCACTTGTGCATGTGCTCTCTCTCTCTCTCTCTCTAAATAAATAAATTAAAAAAAAAAAAAACCTGAGTTCTCATTACTTTGAGGTACAGCCCATTTTCCACAGAATTCCAGCCTTAGCAAATACCAGAGGTGATATTCTGCAGGAAAGCAGTAGGGAAGGCTTAGATGGAAAATTAGGAGTAGTGGCCCAAGAGGCTTCTATAAATTGAGCTCCTATTCAGGTCAATACTCTGCATAAGCAGGTGTGCTTGTAAGATACTTGTTTACTATGATTTTCTTGCTCCTGTCTGATGAGTCCAGCCAGGGCTGGTGTCTTCGATGAGGCCTCTGGTGGTGTTTCTTTCTAGACTTAGAAGGAGGAAGTAGAGCCAAAGAAATAACCAAGAGGTTTTGCCCCATTGAGCCCAGAGAACCTGGGAGACTTAGTTTAGAGATATCTTTTTCTTAAGGTTTGAGCTGCACAGGTATGCTATGTTTGTAGCCTGTGGGTACTGTCCTCATCTTTATAGGATAAAGTAAGCAAGTCTGAGTCTTGGCCCTCCTTGCAGTAACTCCAGAGGAAGATCAGCTTGGAACAGGTGGAAGCCAACTAATCCCCATATAGGGTACAGATTAGCATCAGCAAGGTGGGGGACTGTTCAGGCTGGAATCCCTCCTGCTGAGGTAGTTGGATTCTATGTGAATGCTTGAGCATATCTTCTTTGAATCCATCTTTTAGTTTCCCTGGAGTTTAGGGAGGGGCTGGGTTTTGTTAACTCTGTAGTTCTTGATATTAGTGTTGTGTGGTGGGACAAGGGGGAGGGCAAGGGAAGCAGAGTAGGGACATTGCAAGTACAGTTGTGTTAAAGTCATCTATTTAGGAGTGCTCAGGCAAGCTCAGTTATGAGAGATTTCCCTTTTTTCCCCCCTACTCTGCTTTTTCAGGACTCTGCACTTGTCCAAGAGAAGAACCTAAAGAAATCAGAGCAGCTGAGGTAGTTCTGAAAGCCATGGCGCAGGTAAGCTGAAATTTCCTCTATCCTTGAAATAAGTTCTCTTCCTTTCAAATCATGTGAACATTTGTGTTCTTTATCCTGAAACTTCCCTGTCTCACTGAGCCCCATTTCCTCGATTCCAGGGATGAGTGATGGTGTTCCACTTCCCTTAGTGGCTCTCTCTTCTCCAACAGTGTAGACATATGGACACACAGCTCTCACTAGAGCACTCTGCTCCCTGGAGCAGAAATATATTGTCTTACAAGAAATATGAGAGCCCCCTTTATCAGAACCCTGGTTGAGTGGGGCCAAAGATGAGATAACTTTGATCTTTTCCATTAATTTAGGTGGTTTCCTTTATTTTTAAATGTTACCTCTTTAAAAATCATAAAAATAAATAAATATTTTAAATATTTCATACTACCAAAGAATATATACAAAAACATGTCTAGAATATGTGTATGGTGTAAAAAATAAAGTATTGTGGTGCCTGGGTAGCTCAATCAATTAAGCGTCCAACTTTGGCTCAGGTTGTGGTCTCCCAGCTTGTGGGTTTGAGCCCTGTTAGCACAGAGGCTGCTTGGGATCCTCTCTCTCCCCCTCTCTCTGCCCCTCCCCCACCTGCACATGCACATTCTCTCCCTCTCTCCCTCTCTCTCTCTCTCAAAATAAATAAACTTTAAAAATAATAATAAAGTATTGATGTACTCATTACCTAGATTAATGTACCATTTAAGCATCCCACATTCCCTTCCCAGATCATATTCCTTCCCACATGGCATTACTGTTCCTGCCAATGGTAATATTGCCTTCAGTTTTGTGTTTATCAGTCCTTTGATTTTTATACTAGTTTTACCATATATGAATGCATACTAAGCAATATACTGTTGAGTTTTCTGTTTTCAAATATTTGTGAAATTATCATACTCTGTATTTTTTACCAGATTCTTTTAATTCAATACCATGTATTTTCAGATCATTCATGTTAAATTGTATAGCACTAGATTAGCAGTTCTCCGAGCATGGTCCAGGAAGACTTTGACATCTTCTCAGGAGATAATACTAACATGTTATCTGCCTTTCTCACTCATATTCTCCAATGAGTGTACAATGGAGTTTCCTAGAAGCTGTATGATATTTTATCCCAACAGACTGAGTGCAGAAGTAGATGTGAAAATCCAAGTGTCTTTTATTCAGTCAGTCATTCAAGAGGATGCAAAAATGTAAAACAAAGCTATTAAGTTTTTTTGACAAGAGTTATTTTTCATAAATGTATATTACTTTGTTAACATGTAAGAGGTTTATTATTGGTTATTTAAATAAATTAATAAATTCATATTTTTAAATTTCTCACTTTTAATTTCTAAATTTTTAAAAATGTTTTATTTATTTTTGTGAGCAAGAGAGACAGAGCATGAGCAGGAGAGGGGCAGAGAGAGAGGGAGACACAGAATTTGAAACAGGCTCCAGGCTCTGAGCTGTCAGCACAGAGCCCTACGAGGGGCTCGAACCCACAGACTGTGAGATCATGACCTGAGCTGAAGTCAGACGCTCAACCAACTGAGCCACCCAGGTGCCCCTCTCACTTTTAATTTCTAACATGGTAATTATTGATAAATATACTCAGCATTAACAGAAGTTCTTTGAGGGGCACCTGGGTGGCTCAGTTGGTTAAGCATCCGATCTTGGTGTCAGCTCAGGTCATGATCTTGCGGTTCATTGGATCGAGCCTTGCTGTCAGCACAGAGTCTGCTAAGGATTCTCTCTCTCCCTCTTTCTCTGCCCCTCTTCCCCTTCTCTTGCTCTCTCTCAATAAATAAATCAACTTAAAGTTTTTTATTGAGGTCCTCAATAAATTTTTAACAGCTTTATTGTATATATAATTTTGTACAAGGAAATTCACCCGTATAAGTGTAAAGTTCTGTGGTTTTTAGTGTTTTTATAGAGTTCTACAACCATTAGCACAATCCATTTTAGAACATTTTTATTACCCCCAAGAGAAATCCCATTTTCATTAGTCTCTCTCAATCACTCCTCCTCATCCACTGGCAACTGCGAATTTACTTTCTGTCTCTATGGATTTGCCTATTTGAGATATTTCCTATGAGTAGAATTTTACATTATTTGCTCTTTTGTGTCTGGCTTTTTTCATGTAGTATATTTTCAGGCTTCAGCTTCATCCATGGTGTAGCATTTATCAGTACTTCATTTTATACCAAATAGTATTCCATAGATATGTATGTATCACATTTTATTCTTCAGTTCATCAGTCTATGGACATTTGGGTTATTTCTGCTTTTTGGCTATCATGAATAATGCTCCTGTGAATATTGGTGTATACGAGGATTTTGGGGTGGACATAACGTTTTCATTTCTCTATACCTACTTAATTCTATGTTTAACATTTTGGAAAACTGCCAAAACTATTTTACAAAGTGGCTGCCCCATTTTACATCCCTGCCAATGTGTTATTTTGTCTTTTTGGTAATAGCCATCCTGAAGGACATGAAGTGGCATCTTATTGTTTTGATTTGCATTTCCCTAATTATTAGTGGTATTGAACATCTTTTATTTTTTTAATTTTTTTTTGTTTTATTTAATTTTGAGAGAGAGAGAGAGAGAGACAACACAAGCAACGAAGGGTCAGAGAGAGAGGGAGATACAGAATCCGAAGACAGGCTCTGAGCTAGCTGTCAGCACAGAGCCTGATGCAGGGCACGAACCCACGAACTGTGAGATCATGACCTGAGCCAAAGTCGGACGCTTAACTGACTGAGCCACCCAGGCACCCCTTGAACATCTTTTCATATGCTTGTTGGCCATCTGTATATCTTCTTTGGAGAAATCACCACTTGAATTCTTTGCTTAGTTTTTAATTGTTTGGGTTTTTTTTTTTTATTGTTGAATTATAAGACTCCTTCATATATACTGGAAAGAAGTCCTTATCAGTTGTAAGATTTTGGATTTTTACTTTCTTTTACTTTTTTTTTTTTTTTAAGTAATCTGTATTCCCAACATGCAGCTTGAACCCACAACCCTGAGATCAAGAGTTATATACTCTACTGACTAAGCCAGCCTGGTGCCCCCTGGATTTTTACTTTTTTGGGGGTAGTATGGTGGTTTACTTTCTTGATGGAATTATTTGTAGCACAAACATTTTTAGTTTTGATGATGTTTAACTTTTTGTACTTTTGTTACTGTTTGGTGCCATGTCTAAGAAACCACTACCTCAAGGTCATTAAGTTCTCTTCCTTTGTTTTCTTCTAAGAAGGGTAGTTTAAGCTTTTACATTTAAGTCTACAAGCTATTTTGCATTAATTTTTACATATGGTATGAGGTGGCATCCAACTTCATCCTTTGCATATGGATATCCCCTTGTCCCAGCACTGTTTATTAAAAAGATTGATCTTTCCCTATTGAATTGTCTTGGTTAACATAACGTATGTGGTGCCCCTTGGGTACTGGGCAGAGGATGCCTTTCTTCAGAAATGTTCTGTGAATGTTCTCAAACTTGGCACAGTAATTTTTCACATGGGGTTTCCCCCAACTGCATGAATAATGTTATTTTGAATTCCAGGCTTCCTCGAGAGTAGGCCTTGGTATATTGTCAAAGGAAATGATTACTAGTAGTAATAGTAGTATCATTAATAAGAATCCTTTTTTCCCCACCTGGCATGCAGAAGCTTCCTTGTTACTTTTTTCCAACAAGGTTTTCTTTTTTTCTTTTATTAATTTTTTTTAACGTTAATTTATTTTTGAGACAGCAAGAGACAGAACACAAGCTGGGGAGGAGCAGAGAGAGAGGGAAACACAGAATCTGAAACAGGCTCCAGGCTCTGAGCTGTCAGCACAGAGCCCGATGCAGGGCTTGAACCCACGGACCGCGAGATCATGACCTGAGCCGAAGTCGGACTCTTAACCAACTAAGCCACCCAGGCGCCCTTCCAACAAGGTTTTCATTGGAGCCCACCATTTCACTAAGAGAATACCTCTTCTAGGTTCCCAGCTTTAAGTGAGGGGTATGGACACTTGCCCCTTTGGTATGTGTCCTAAGCCCTATATGTACTAAGATTAATTCCCATAGTGTTTGACTTCAGGGTAGCCCCTGCTAACATATTTGCTTACCTCTCAGTGTTCAGTTGCATGTATGTGTGTGTGTGTGTTGTTGTTGTTCTCGTTGTTAGCTCGAGGACTTAATTTTTCTTCCCTTCTTGAGAACTTAGAGAAGCATTAAAAGGGTGTTATAATTTATCCAGTGCCTAGGCATTTGCATAGAAGCCTCCCCTCCTGCCACGTATAGATGGTCAGAGCTGGAGTGATGGGTCTTGGTCTCAGTGTGTGGTGACATCTCCTATTTTATGAGGCCTTCAGGATGGGGATTGTGATTGGGAACTTCAGTTACAGAAAGTCCTTTAGTCTTTCAAGGTAATTTATGAGAGACAACCATAAAATGGTCCATTTTGAGGTTGAAAATTATGTGTTAGTTGTGGGCCACATTTATATGACTGAGGTACACTCTCCATCAGCTTTTTTATTTCAGGAACAAGGAAAAGGACAGTAAAGAATAATAGATAATTAAGTATATAATAAACATTGAAGATTTCACAGATCTTGTTTAAGCTAAATGCTCCCAAATAATGTAATGATTATGTGTTATAGTATATAAGGTGTATTATTATATAGCAAATAAAAATCCTTGTGTTTATTATAAAATTTGCCATAATAAACTATGCTCATGATATTTAACTGCTTCTAAGTGGGATCACTTGTCATTTTCAGCAGTACAGTTCTTTATTGTTATGGGACTGTCCTGGGTACATGGCCCAGATAAATCAGAACACTTAACATTGCTGATGCAAGGCACTGAATGCCAGCAGCACACCCCAGCTGACCTCTCCCAACATTGTGACAACTAGACCATCCCCTGCATGATCCCAGATGCCTGAAGGGGAAGGTATAACCTGGTTTGAGAGCCACAGACTAATTATGAACCTGAGTCTGCAGGATAGTTTTAAAACTTCTATAAATCCTATGTTTTATTTTTTTAGTGTTTATTTATTTATTTTTAAGAAAGAGACAGAGAATCTCAAGCAGTCTCCACACTGTCAGTGCAGAGCCTGATGTGAGGCTAGAACCCAGGAACCGTGAGATCATGACCTGAGATGAAAATCAAGAGTCAGACACTTAGCCAACTAAGCTACCCAGGCATAGAGATTTATAAGACATTTTGGATCTTATTTTTTTTTTCTCTCTGTGGAAAAATGGTAAAGGATTCTTTTTTTTTTAATATAGTTTATTTTTGAGACAGAGACATGAGCGGGGGAGGGGCAAACAGAGAGGGAGACACGGAATCTGAAACAGGCTCCAGGCTTTGAGCTGCCAGCACAGAACCCAACGCAGGGCTCAAACCCACGAACTGCAAGATCATGACCTGAGCCGAAGTCGGACGCTTAACTGACAGCCACCCAGGCGCCCCAAGGATTCATTTTTAAAAGACTTTATTATTGGCAAAGCTTTTGTTTGCTGTGTATTTTGTATATGCTATTTTGTTTATATGTAAGATCCCACTTAGCTTAATTTTGCTCATTCCCAGGCCCTTGTAGAATATAGAAGAGTCCTGCTGTATGAAAGAGGTTTTAGTTCCAGCTGTAGGAATATTGAAAAGCATGTAGGCCTCTACCCATATAAATGTGTGGGGTTTTTTTTAATGTTTTATTTATTTTTGAGAAAGAGAGACAGCGTGAGCAGGGGACGGTCAGAGAGAGAGGGAAGACACAGAATTTGAAGACAGGCTCCAGGCTCAGAGCTGTCAGCACAGAGCCCGACGTGAGACTCGAACCCACAAACCGTGAGATTGTGACCTGAGCCAAAGCCAGATGCTCAACCGACTGAGCCACCCAGGTGCCCCAGATGTGCTTATTATACTACCTTCATGGCATAGGCACTCCTCCATAACTTGCTTGCTTGATCACCTCCTTCCTACAGTGCCCTTCTCCATTTCCTCTTTCAACCTTACAGATATTTCCTGGATGAGTCAGGTTGTCAATACCTGAACCTACTCATCAATTTTAACCTCATTAAAAATGGTACAGTTATCATGCCCCTACTCATGGAAACTATAGGAAGTACCCAGCACCACCTCTGACATATCCTTGCCCCTCCAAAAACAATGTGAATCAGGCCTCCAAATCTAACTACTTTTTCACAGAAAGTATGGAAGGAAAGAAACATCTTAAACTATTCCATGAAGATGCAGTCAGCCAAGAATGTGGGAGATTCTTTTTAAAAAAAATTTTTTTTTAATGTTTTATTTATTTTTGAGAGAGAGAGAGACAGTGTGAGCAGAGGAGGGTCAGAGAGAGAGGGAGACACAGAATCCAAAGCAGCCTCCAGGCTCTGAGCTAGCTGTGAGCACAGAGCCTGAGGTGGGACCCAAGCCCACGAACCGTGAGATCATGACCTGAGCCGAAGCCAACGTTTAACCGACTGAGCCACCCAGACGCCCCAAATGTGGGAGATTCTACTGACTCAAATGTTTCTGTAATTAATAAATAAACAGCAATAAAAATTTGTGAAGGGTTTCTGGGGGGCTCTTATAGATTCTAGAGACTTAAGGAAACCTACCCACTAAATGCAACTTGTGGATCTAATTTGAATCTTGATTTGAACAAACCAACTGTAAAAAAATCACTTTTGAGAAGATTGGGACAATTTGAAACTTGATCTGGTTATTAGGAAGTTATTGTTTATTAAGTATAATAATCTGGTTATTATGCTTTTTTTAAAAAAAAAAGGCTAATCTGCTAGGTACTAAAGTATTTATGGGTAAAATACTATGATTGGTATTGGTACATAGGATCTGCCTCAAAATACACCAGGGATAAGAAAGAAAGAAAGAGAGAGAGAGAGAGAGAGAGAGAGAGAGAGAGAGAGAGAGAGAAAGAAAGAAAGAAAGAAAGAAAGAAAGAAAGAAAGAGAAAGAAAGATTTGGAAAGTCTTCCTCATTGTTGAGGCAGAGCAATGGATTCATGGGGTCATTATACTACTCTGTATACTTTTGTGTATTTTGAAAAATTTTGTAATAAATGCAAAAAAGAAAAGCCCTCTCATTTACTAGTAATGCATGGGTTTATTATTTCAGGGGTTGGTAACATTCAGGGATGTGGCCATAGAGTTCTCTCAGGAAGAATGGAAGTGCCTGGAACCTGCCCAGAGAAACTTGTACAGAGATGTGACTCTGGAGAACTTCAGTAACTTGGTGTCACTAGGTAAGGATGTTATATAAAATAGGGCCAGACAGGAAACAAGGCTTCCAGGGACTGCCACAGTGGGAGGTTGGTACCACCTCTGGCAGGGAAAGGTAAAAGGAGGAAACTGCCCCTGGACAATGGTGAGAGCTAGAGTCGTGGAGAAGGGCCCATTTGGCAGCAACCGTAGCCACCTCCAGAACTCCTGGATCAGAGGAGGGAGGAAGAGGGGTATATACCCTGAGCTCTCTCATCCTCCCCACTGGCCTTCTGTTGATGCTTCCATATGCCAAACCCAATGAGAAACCATAGAGCCAGGATAATACAGTCCTTACAGGTAAGTTGTCTGGGGCACAGAGCAAGCAATGGATTGAGTGGGGAGGAGAGGGCAAATGGAGAATGACCACCATAGCTATCTACTCTAAATAATGCAGGACTAGCCTTCTGGAATTTCTGGTATCTTCATGGTGAATTTCTAGGGAGACTTATAGGTTTCTGGATAAATTTCTGCTGTTTCCAAGGGAGTTCTTCGTCCTTTATATATGTGAAAGAGGTAGTTCCATTAGCACCTCTGTCTTCCTATCCTTTGGACAAACTTTACAACTTCCTTTATTCCTTCCTTCATAATTGTCTCTTTTCCTTGGTGACCAAGGGACTGGGTTTGAATTTTGGAACAGGACAATTATCCTCCATTTATTTTCCTATTAACAGGACTCTCTATTTCTAAGCCTGATGTCATTTCCTTACTGGAGCAAGGGAGAGAACCCTGGATGATTGCAAATGATATGACAGGACCATGGTGTCCAGGTGAGCAAGGGGTGATCTAATCGGGGAGGTCATTGGGAATAAAAATAGCCAGTAAGTGAGTCAACTGATAGCAGTAACTTCAGTTATTACTGAGAGGCTCCCCTCCAAGGTATGCTGAAAACTGCAGAACAACAGCCTAAGACATGAAGACACAAAGAGCGAAGGTCTTGTTAGCCTCAGCTCCCAAAGGAACCTTGCCCTTACCCCCATTACCCTTTCTTCTTTCATATTTTCCTCCCATTTCAAAAAGAACATGCTCCCTTTTCCTCCAGGTGCTGCATTTTTACCTGTACTTTGGACCCTTTTTTCTGTAAGCATCTTCATCTCTTAAAAAATACTTTCGGGGCACCTGGGTGGCTCAGTCGGCTAAGTGTCCAACTTCAGCTCAGGTCATGATCTCGAGGTTTGTGATTTTGAGTCCCAAGTTGGGCTCTGTGCTGACAGTTCAGAGCCTGGAGGCTGCTTTGGACTCTCTGTCTCCCTTTCTCTCTGCCCCTCCCCCACTCACGCTCTGTCTCTCTCAAAAATAAATGAGTATTAAAGATTTTTTAAAATACTTATTTTTTTAAAACAGCTCACTTTACCCAATTCAGCAGTTCATTTATTCTCTAAATATTTGAGAGATAAGGTCGTGTAATGGCTAAGGGCACTGACTTGGGAATCAGACTGAGTTCAAATCTTGGCTCTGCCAATTACTAGATCTATGAGTTTAGGTAAACTGCTTAAAATATCTGTGCTTCCGTTTTCTCCTTTGCAAATGAGATAAAAATAGAGCCTCCCTCATGTAATTATTATGGTTGTTATAGGAGTTAATAATGTGAAAATGCTCAGAACAATGCCAGGTAGCAGTGACCATTAAATAAAAGTTATCATGTATTCTTAATTGGCACTTGCTGGGCAATATTGGTAACTTTGAATACTTATAAGTTACCCCCCAATTCCTCTGTTGTTGTTGTTATTTATTTATTTTCACTATCTCTTAATTCTCTATCTAAAATTATATTTCTCTATTAAAATTTCCTTTTGTGTTGGTCTGTTCAGTAAATTCTGTTTTGACCACATGAAAATGTCTTTGGGGTGACTGGGCAGCTCAGTAGGTTAAGTGTCCAACTCTTGATCTCAACTCTGGTCATGATCTCACAGTTTATGAGATCAAGCCCCACATTGGGCTATGCACTGACAGCACAGATTCTTTCTCTCTCCCTCTCTCTCTGCCCCTCCCCCACTTGTGTTCATGCTCTCTCACAATATAAATAAATAAACTTTTTAAAAAAATATTTTTATTTATTTCTAGGAGAGAGAGAAAGAGACAGCGTGAGCAGGGGAGGGTCAGAGAGAGGAGATACAGACTCTGAAATAGGCTCCAGGCTCTGAGCTGGCAGTCAGCACAGAGCCCGACGCGGGGCTCAAACCCATGAACCACGAGATCATGACCTAAGTGAAAGTCGGCCGCTTAACCGACTGAGCCACCCAGGCGCCCCTCACTATTCTTTTGAATGGACTTCCCAAACCCCAGATCTGACCAGGCTATGCTACATTACTAGCAGGGTACTCTGCACTTATCCTTCACAGCCTATAATGGTGGTAATGATAAACTCTGGAGTATTTGACTGTATCCTTCCACAGATCAATGCTCCATTAAGGCAANCGCCCCAATAAACTTCTTTAAAAAAGGTCTTTGGGATACCTGGGTGGCTCAGTCGGTTAAGTGTCCGACTTCGGCTCAGGTCATGATCTCACAGTTCAGGGGTTCGAGCCCCACGTCGGGCTCTGTGCTGACAGCTAGCTCTGAGCCTGGAGCCTGTTTTCAGATTCTGTTTCTCCCTCTCTCCTTGACCCTCCCCTGCTGATGGTCTCTATCTGTCTCTCAAAAATAAATAAAACATTAAAATTTTTAAAAAATCAAAATTAAAAAATGTCTTTATCTTCTTTCTCATAGGATATTTTATATATTTGTTTCATTTTAAAGATTTTATTTTTAAGTAATCTCTATACCCAATATGGGGCTCAAATCACAAACCTAAAATCAACAGTCCCATGCTATACTGACTGAGCCAGCCAGGTGCCCCTTTTGTAGGATATTTTTTTTTCTTTTGTAGGATAGTTTTAATGAGAATGGAGTTCTGTGTTAGCAGGAATTTCCCAAAGAAGAGATCCTTTCGCTGCCTTTTCTCTTCCAATGTCATCACTAGGTCAAGTTCTTCCAATTTTGGAAAATGTTCCCTACATATATTTAAAACTAGTGTTCCTTGGAAAGGAACCTTGCCTCTCTGTTTATCTCTAATCTTTTTGACTATATTATTTAGAATCTGAATGTCCTTTTTTTTTTTTTTTTTTAATGTTTGTTTATGCTGGGGAGGGGCAAAAAGGGAGGGAGACAGAGGATTCAAAGAGGGCTGACAGCGGAGCTCTAACTCACATGAGATAATGACCTAAGCCAAAGTCAAACAGACACTTAACCAACTGAGCCACTTAGGTGCCCGAATCTGCATCTCCTTTTAACTTTCTCTGTACTGGTGCTATGAAGTTCTAAGAGCTGTTACTTGTATTATATATAACGTTATTACATTTTACATTTTTGTAAAGATGAAATATAGATCGTCTTTGCAAATTGTACTTTTACCAGTACAGTCCATCCTTTTTTATGCCACTTAGTGCTTTTAACCTTGAATTCTGTTTTTTCTGATATTCCATCAAATGCCTTCTTTTTTAGCCTAAAAATTCACTGCCACTTGAAGTGTGTCCATGTACTCAAGATTCTATTAGAGTTTCCTCTTTGAATCAATCCAAGATTCTTTCACTTTACTAAGGAGATTCAGTCTATTCTCATTATTGTAATGACTAATGTGTCTATTCTTATTCCTGCCATTTTGTTTCATATGTTCTGTTTCTCACTTCTATTTCTGGCTATTCCCATTTTGCTCATATTTGTTTATACCTCTTTCTACCCTCAAGTGATTTTGAAGTTGTACTTCCTCTTGCTTTGAAAGAATAGTCTTTAATATGACTTTTAAAAATTGGGATACCTAGGTGGTTCAGTAGGTTAAGCATCTGACTCTTGATATCAGCTCAGGTTGTGACCTCGCAGTAGTGAGATTGAGCCTGCTGAGTGTAGAACCTACTTGGGATTATTTTTCTCCTTCTCTGCCCCTATCCTGCTTGCATGCATGAGCACTTGCTCATGCTCACTCTCTCTCTCTCTCTCAAAAAATTAAAAAACAATGATAATAAAAAAATTAAAATGTGCTTAAACCTGTGTTTCTTTTCCTACCTCAAGACTGAAATAGAATTTTTTCCTTTTTAGTAAAGTTTTTAACTTTTTTATTTATTTTTATTTTTTTAATGTTTTTTATTTATTTCTGAGAGAGAGAGACAGCGTGAGCAGGGGAGGGTCAGAGAGAGAGGGAGACACAGAATCTGAAACAGGCTCCAGGCTCTGAGCTAGTTGTCAGCACAGAGCCCGATGCTGGGCTCAAACCCACGAACCATGAGATCATGACCTGAGCCGAAGTCAGACCCTTAACCAACTGAGCCACCCGGGCGCCCCAATTTTTTTTATTTTAAGTAATTTTAGGCTTGTAGAAAACTAGCAAAATTATTAGAATTCCCATATGCCCTTCCCCCAGCTTCCACTAATGTTAACATTTTACATAACCATAGTACAGTTATCAAAACTAGGAAATTACCATTGGTACAGTAGTATGAACCAATATGGATGTTATTAGAATTTTGTCAGATTTTCTCCTAATTTCTCCTTCTGTCCCAGGATCTAGTCCCAGATCCTGTGTTACATTTAGTTATTGTGTCTCCTTAGCATCTTCTACTCTGTGGTAGTTCTTCAGTATTTTCATGCTCTTGATACTTTTGATGAGTATTATTTTGGAGAGTTCTTGGTGTAAATGTGGCTTAATACTGATGGTGGTAAACTTGATCACTTGTTTAAGGTAGTGTCTCTCATGTTTTCCCCCTGTAAAGTTACTATTTTTCCATCTGTAATTGGTAATTATCTTGGGGGGAGATACTTTAAGAATATACATTTTGCCTACTGATTTTAGCATTCATCGGTGGATCTTCTTTGTAAGTTATTACAATAGTGTTGCTTCATGTTGATTTTCTTTGTACCTTATTCCTTCTAAATTTATCCATTGGATTTCACCTGTAAGAAAAAGCTATCCCTTCCCCCTCTCCCATTCATTTATTTATTCAGTGATTTATTTCTATCAATATGGGCTCTTGGGTATTTATTATATTCTATGGTTTGTAGCCCAGTACTACTGAATGAAATAAATACATTATTTATTTCGTTGCTCCAGTTATTCAAGCTTTGGTCATTGGGAACACCTTCAGGTTGTTCCTGGGTTCTCTTAACATGTCCTCATTCTTTTTTGAGGACTTTCTTATTTTCTGATACCACAGGATGTTTCAGGCTTATCTTGCAGTTTTCCTGCCCCAGCCATTCCTCAAAGAAGCCCTGGTTTCTTTTATTGGGGAATGGTATGAAATAGCATCTTTGAATCTCTTTTTTGGAGCAAAGTAAGACCTTTACCATATTTTACTTCCCTGTGCCCTACCAGGGTTTGGCAAACTACAGTCGGTGGGTCAGGTCCAGCCCATGGCCAGTATTTTGTACCACCTACAAGCTAAGAATGGTTTTTACATTTTGAAAGGGCTTAAAGATAGATAGATAGACAGACAGACACACACACACACACACACACACACGCATATGCTAAAGAGACATTATGTGGTCTACACAAGCCTAAAGCATTTACTGTCTGGTCCTTTACAGAAAAAGTTTGTTGGCCCTTGCCTATATTCATCCTCACCCTCACCCCACTCCGATTTTGTTTTAATGATCTGGAATTCTAGTTTCAGACTATTGTTGTTCTTAAAATATTTCATAAATTTATTTTTTTAAGTTTTTATTTATTTTGAGAGAGAGTGCATGTGAGAGCAAACAGGGGAGGGGCAGAGAGAATCCCAAGCAGGCTCCTCACTGTCAGCACAGAGCCTGAAGCGGGGCTTGAACTCATGAACCGTGAGATCATGACCTGAGACAAAATCAAGAGTTGGCTTAACAGGGGGTGCCTGGGTGGCTTAGTTGGTTAAGTGTCCGACTTTTGCTTAGGTCATGATCTCGCGGTTCGTGGGTCCGGGCCCCGCGTCGGGCTCTGTGCTGACTGCCAGCCCAGAGTCTGGAGCCTGTTTCAGCCTGTGACTCCCTCTCTCTCTGACCCTCCCCTGCTCACGCTGTCTCTCTCTCTCTCCTAAAAATAAATAAAACATTAAAAAATAAAAAAAATAAAAAATAAAACATTTAAAAAAAAAAAAGAGTTGGCTTAACCGTCTGAGTCACCCAGGCACCCCTATTTCCTAAATTTATAGTATGTATTATTCCTCACTAATAATAATGATATAAAGCAGTCATCTATACACTACAGTCTATGGGCCAGACTGCTACCTGTTTTTATAGGACCTGTAAGCCTATTGAATTCTGTAAAGGCCTTCTAAGAGGTGCATTGATAAACAGTATTTGGCAATACTGTGTATATGAAACATTTTCAAAGGTTAAATAAATACATAAAATCTCATTACAGATCAGCACCAACAGATGAACATTTGCCATAAATTTTGATGCTGGAGAACACTAATCTTGAACTCCAGTTAAGTGAAATGATGTCTTCATTTTCTGAGTTGTTAATTTTAGCCATTCTGACAAGTGAGAGGTGGTAACTTATTTGAGTTTTGATTTGTAGTTCCCTGATGATGAGTGATGTTGAGCATCTTTCCAGTGTCTATTAGCCATCTGGATGTCTTCTTTGGAAAAGTGTCTATTCATGTCTTTTGCCCATTTCTTTACTGGATTCTTTGGTTTTGGGGTGTTGAGTTTGATAAGTTCTTTATAGATTTTGGATACTAACCCTTTATCTGATATGTCATTTGCAAATATTTTCTCCCATTCTGTTGTTTGCCTTTTAGTTTTGCTGATTGTTTCCTTAGATGTGCAGAAGCTTTTTATCTTGATGAGGCCCCCATAGTTCCTTTTTGCTTTTGTTTCCCTTGCCTCTGGAGACATGTCAAGTAAGAAGTTGCTATGGCTGAGGTCAAAGAGTTTGTTGCCTGTTTTCTTCTCTACGATTTTGATAGCCTCCTGTCTTACATTTAGGTCTTTCATCCATTTTGAGTTTATTTTTGTGTATGGTATAAGAAAGTAGCCCAGGTTCATTCTTCTGCATGTCACTGTCCAGTTTTCCCCATTTGCTGAAGAGACTGTTTCTTTTCCATTGGATATTCTTTCCTGCTTTGTCAAAGATGAGATGGCCAGATGTTTGTGGGTCCATTTCTTGGTTCTCTATTCTGTTCCATTGATCTGAGTGTCTGTTCTTATGCCAGTACCATACTGTCTTGATGAGTATGGCTTTGTAATACATCTTGAAGCCCAGGATTGTGATATCTCCAGCTTTGGTTTTCTTTTTCAGGATTGCTTTGGCTATTCAGGGTCTTTTCTGGTTCCATACAAATTTTAGGATTGTTTGTTCTAGCTCTGGGAAGAATGCTGGTGTTATTTTGATAGAGATCGTATTGAATATGTAGATTGCTTTGGGTAACAATATTTGTTCTTCCATTCCATGAGCATGGAATGTTCTTCCATTTTTGTGTATGTGTGTCTTCTTCAGTTTCTTTCATAAACTTTCTTTGGTTTTTTACCTCTTTGGTTAGGTTTATTCCTAGGTATCTTATGGTTTTTGGTGCTGGATTAACTTTTATCTTTTTCCAAATGAGTATCCAGTTTTCCAACCATTATTTATTACAAAAACTATCCTTTTCCCCTTTGAAATACCACTTTTATAATAAAATTCAATTTCCATATAAACTTCCGTCTTTTTCTGGCTTTCTATTGTATTCTACTCATTTCTCTCTCTAATGCAATATTTGTTCATCAAACAACCCATTCTTAAAAGTTTATTATATAGTAGGGTTTGGCTATAACAGCTAGTAAAAAAGGCTATATTTCTGCCTTTGGGGATATTTAGGAGAAGAAAAAGATCAACAAATGAATAAATAAATGAAAATCTAATTACAACTAATAAAAGTATTATGAAGAAGGGGCGCCTGGGTGGCTTAGTCGGTTAAGCGTCCGACTTTCGCTTAGGTCATGATCTTGCGGTTCATGGGTTCAAGCCCCCCGTCGGGCTCTGTGCTGACTGCCAGCTCAGAGCCTGGAGCCTATTTCAGAGTCTGTGTCTCCCTCTCTCTCTGACCCTCCCCAGCTCACGCTCTCTCTCTCTCTCCTAGAAATAAATAAAAATATTTAAAAAAAAAAAGTATTATGAAGACAAGTGCACGATGTGGAAGAGAGAATCAAAGTGTATGCTGATCTATATAAAAATTGAGAACACCCAGCTTAATTTCTTTTGCTCCTTCTGGCCCCTCATCATTTTTGTGCTTTCATGTGATCTTTAGAAATTGCACAGCAATATTTGGGACTTATATAGGCCATTTACTTTTTAAGGTTATTTTCATTTTGTCTCTCTAGTCAGCTATAGATTTTTTTATTTCTCTTAAAAGAATAAAGCTGCTTGTATTTTCTTTTCTTTTTTTTTTCCAGAGCTGAAGTCCAGGTGTGAGAAATTTCCACAAAAAGATATTTTTGAAGTAGAGTCATTCAATTGGGAGATCATGAAAAGCCTTAAATGCTATGATTTTGAGGGCTCCAGTTTTGGAGATGCCTGGGAATACAAAGGCCAATTTGAAAGACAACAAGTAACTCAGGAATACTGTTTCAAGCAAGTAAAAATCACATATAAAAACATGCCCACTTTTGAGCATCATACATCCCTCACTTTACATCAGAACAATGAGATTGGTGAGAAACTGATTGAATGTAATGAGTGTGGGAAAGCATTTAGCCGTGGCTCACACCTTATTCAGCATCAGAAAACTCATACTGGTGAAAAACCATTTGAATGTAAGGAATGTGGGAAGGCCTTTAGTCGTGCTTCACACCTTGTTCAACATCAGAGAATTCATACAGGTGAGAAACCTTATGCCTGTAAGGAATGTGGGAAGGCCTTTGGTCGTACTTCAGAACTTATTCTACATCAAAGACTTCATACTGGCATCAAACCCTATGAATGTAAAGAATGTGGAAAGACCTTTAGACAGCATTCGCAACTTATTCTGCATCAAAGAACTCACACAGGTGAGAAACCCTATGTATGTAAAGACTGTGGGAAGGCTTTTATTCGCGGCTCACAACTTACTGTTCATCGAAGAATTCATACAGGTGCTAGACCTTATCAGTGTAAAGAATGTGGGAAAGCCTTCAGACAACATTCACAGCTTACTGTCCACCAGAGGATTCATACTGGTGAGAAGCCCTATGAGTGTAAGGAATGTGGGAAGGGCTTTATTCATAGCTCAGAAGTTACTCGACATCAAAGAATTCATTCTGGGGAGAAACCCTATGAATGTAAGGAATGTGGGAAGGCCTTTAGACAACACGCACAGCTTACACGACATCAGAGAGTTCATACTGGTGACAGACCCTATGAATGTAAGGACTGTGGGAAGGCCTTTAGTCGTAGTTCATACCTTATTCAACATCAAAGAATTCATACCGGTGACAAACCCTATGAATGTAAGGAATGTGGGAAAGCCTTTATCCGTGTTTCACAACTGACTCATCATCAGCGAATTCATACTTGTGAGAAACCCTATCAATGTAGGGAATGTGGAATGGCCTTTATTCGTAGTTCACAACTTACGGAACATCAGAGAATTCATCCTGGTATCAAACCTTATGAATGTAGAGAATGTGGGCAGGCCTTTATTCTTGGCTCGCAGCTCATCGAACACTACAGGATTCATACTGGTTAGAAAGCCTTGAATGTTAAGGGTATAGGAAAGCCTTTACATGGATTTCACACCTGACTCAATATTAGATGTGTAACGTAATGTAATTAATGTCAGAAAACCCTCATGTGTCACTTCCATTATGGAACATGGGATTACTCCTACCAGAAGAAAATTCAATAAATGTGGGAATTCTTTTTGCCTCACACTCACTGCTTACTGAGCATCAGAAAACTTATGCTGAGAAAAATATTAATATGACTATAGAAAACATTTCTGTTACCACTCAAAATGTGTTAAACTACTGAGAATTCCTAAGAGAAAATGACCCTATTAGGATATTTTTTGAATGTGCCTTTTACCACATCATACATCTTATTTAATCTTATCTCAGTTCCACCAGTTACTGACTGTATAGCATTGGACAAATTATGCAATCTTCCTGTTCCTCAGTTTACTTATTTTTAAGCAGTGATGATTTGACTTACCTGATAGAGTTCTCCTGAGGACTAGCAGATATTTTTTATAAAGCCTATAGTTCAATAAACATTAGTTATTGTTGTTAATTAATAACAATATTACTGTTGAGTTCATGTGAGAGGAGAGCCTTATTATGAATGTGCCAAATAACAGAAAGCCTTCATAGCCACTTGTTAACAATAATTTGTCCTGGAAAACAGTAGTAAAGTATTATTGTAAGGTCTTCATGATATTTAAAACTAGGAAGTCACACGATTAGAAATTAACAGAAGAGTGGCCAAAAGAAATCCACCCATTTAGAAATCTAAAGCCACTTCCAAGTATAACTTCAAGAGCAGTCAGAAATTTCTACACATCAAAACCAGTTCAGTACAGCCAAAGCTGTGTTCCTGTCAACCCCAGGACTGAAGATAAGGGCTTTGTTCTTTAAATACAGATCTCCAGTCATACACCAAGCCCACTGAATGGATGAATAGTCAACTCTAAAAATTAGAGGGAAATTCCTATATAAACCCAAGTCAATAGTAAGAATGATAATTTAAAAAATAATAAAATAAAAAACAGTAGACTCAATCTGAAGGTGGTTTATTTAACAATATAATTAGATGGATGATTGGCAACTCTGAACTAGAAGAATAAACATTTAGCATTTTGAATGTGGAAGAGGTGGGTATTTCTTTTAAATAACTACTATGCATAACTTTAGTGTATTTGGAAATTTAAAGAGAATGGGTTTGTACAAAAAAAATCAACACTGGTTTAAGAAGACATGGAATACCTGAATAAATCAATGATTGTAGAAGGACATAAAAAGACATCAAAGCTCTTCCCTTTTAAAACAGTTTAACCTAGGGGCGCCTGGGTGGCTTAGTCGGTTGGGCGTCCGACTTTCGCTTAGGTCTTGATCTCGCGGTTCGTGGGTTCGAGCCCCGCGTCGGGCTCTGTGCTGACTGCCAGCTCAGAGCCTGGAGCCTGTTTCGGAGTCTGGGGCTGCCTCTCTCTGACCCTCCCCTGCTCACGCTGTCTCTCTCTCTCTCTCCTAGAAATAAATAAAAATTATTAAATAAAAAATAAATAAAATAAAAAAATAAAACAGTTTAACCTACTAAAACCTCAAGGAGCAGATAGATAATCCATGAGAGAAGCTTGCCATTACATTTCCAAAGCTAAATAAAACTATGATTAAAAAAAAAAAACCCAACAAGAATAGCTCCCAAGAAACAAATTGTAGATGATCATCATTTGTGAAAATAAGTATAAATAAAATTGCTGGTAATTGAATCCAATCTCCTCAAAGTTAGAAGCTAATTTTAATAAAAATTTTAATGTTTATTTTTGAGAGAGAGAGTGCAAGCAGGGAAGGGACAGAGAGAGAGGGAGACAGAGTCTGAAGCAGGCTCCAGGCTCTGAGCTGTCAGCACAGAGACTGACGCGGGGCTAAAGTTAGAAGCTTATTTTAAATAGAATGTCTAGAATTTCACCTGTCGTGGATTAATTATGTTTTCAGAGTTGTGGTATAACTCCAAGAGAGGACAATGGTAGTGGAAAGAGCCCTGATGCAACCCTAGCGATATATGGATCAGAGCTTATGAATGAATCTGGGGAATCTCAAGAAACATCCCCTCAGTCCAGACAGTGGCTGGGGCACACGGCCTCTGTGTCGCGATGCCATCCATCGTCTTAGTCATCCAGACTGTTGACGAAAGCACCTGTATTTTCCACATGTATCACTGCCTACACAGGATTAGGAAGTAATGTTCTGCATATCATTTTACTTTAAGTGGTTTAATGATTACAGTGTACATTTGGAGGAATTCAAAGCTATGACATTAAAAAGTGTCACTTTGAACAGTAAAAACATACTCATAGGATAAATATCTTAAAGTTACAATTTGGTATATAATCTCTATTCCATCTCTGCTGTTATTCTGTGTATCCATCACTGTTATCAAGTTCTTGTATATACTGCCTGATTTTTATGTTTGCCTAAGTGTAGACATATAACACCTTTATAAAAGATTTTTACATAAATGGTAGCAAATTTCTATACTTGGTATTTTTGCTTATCCATACACCTTGAAATTGGATCGTATTGATACATATATAGCTGCCTTATTCTTCCTTAACAGCTGCATAGTATATGTGTTTCATAATTTATCCTGTCAATTTAGTTTGTTCCATTAATATTTGCTTTCAAACAATCTTATAATAAATATCCTTGCACATAAATTATTTTGTGTATGTGTGATATCTCTTTAAGATAAATTCCTGAAAGTGGAAGTGCTAGATCAAAATGTATATACATTTTTAATTGTTTACACAAAATCTTACAATGTACCCCCAGTGCCCCCATCCCCAACTTCAGTAATTATCAGCTCATGGCGTATCTTGTTGTATCTGTATTTCCACCCACTCCTCGACCCTCATGTCAGTTTTGAAGTAAATCCCAGCAACATCATTTCATCCATAAATATTTCAGTGTATATCTCTACAATGTATCACGACTTGAGAGAAGATTTTCTCTCCTTAAAAAAATATGGCAATACTGTATTACACATATGATGGTAAGTATTCCCATTTCTAATTGTTTCATAAATGTCAGGTTTTTTTTAAAAGTTCATTGAAATCCAAATTATGTCCACAAATTGCAGTTGTTACAGCTCTTCAGTCTCTGTCTATGCATTCTTCTTTACCCTTTTTTACCCCCCTGGTAATTTATTTTCTGAGGAAACTAGATCATTTGCCTTGTATAGTTTCTCAGAGCCTGGTTTTTGCTGACTGAATCCCATGGTGTAGTTAACATGCTCCTCTATTCTTGGTATTTCCTATAAATTGCTAGTTGGTACCCAGAGTCTTGATCAGATTGAAGAGGTTTTTGTTTTGTTGTGTTGTGTTTTGCTAAGACTATTTGCAGGTGGTTAATATTGAAACATAACGTCGAGGTGTCTTTTTATGATATTAGCAACCATTGTTCAATTGACCTATTAATCCACTAAGGATTACAAAATGATATACTATTTCTTCTTTTATTAGCCAAAATATTTTTATGAAGAAAAACTTCCCTTTACTGTGTGGTTTCTCATGTTACAGTAAGGAAAGGCAAGATAAATGCTTCTTTCTTTCTCTTTACAGGTTTCAAAATAATGAGTTGGTTCCCTAGCATTCTGTCATGATAACCTATGAGTTTAGGTGTGTGTGTGTGTGTGTGTGTGTGTCTGTGTCTGTGTGTGTGTGTCTGTGTCTGTGTGTGTGTGTCTGTGTGTATGTGGCATATTTAAAATGTTTAAATACAATTAGGTTGTACTCTCATTGATACTCAAATTGTTCCATCTCTAGGATGTGGGAGCCTCTTCCACAGGCTCCCCTGTCCTTTTGATATGACTCTCGTAGTCTTTGATCACTTGCTTGCTGTCTGCCACAAAATGTTCCAGGCTCACCTTGTTCATATCCTACCTCCCACCTTAAAGTAGCCATTTTCCAAGGAGTTTTTTTGTTTATTTTTTGGGGTTTGAGGGGGGTACATTCCCAAGTGGTATACAGAAGCCACAAATGATTAGGAGTGCTTCATTCTCTGGTTGGACATTTTTACATAGCTGTTTTATACACATTGCTCAAGTGCCTTCAAGAAAATTATGCATCCATGCATCTGCCCACAGTGGCAGAAACCCCAAAACACCACATTCATTTAATCCTGGAGAAAACATTTATTTTAAATGTGTAGACCATTTGATGGGTGAAAAATGGAAAAGTTACCTTGGTTTTCACTTGCATTCTTTTCACTATGATTAAGATAGATGACCATTTGTTCATGTATTTATTGACCATTAGTATTGCTTTTAGCACGGTGCCTAAAACAGTAGCCACTCAATAAATATGTGTTAATTGAATAAATTAATTGTATGTTCATATCCTTTGCTCATTTAATAATGGACTAGTCATTTTTCTTACTATAAAGAGCTACTTTTGAGAGGAATAAATGTGTTGTAAGGTTCCTAGCACAGTGCCTGAAATTCACCAAGTGTTTCCTGCCTTGATATATGCATACATTGTCATTTATGTCTCTGGCTTGGCTTCTTTTTCTCCCCCCACCCCTTTAAAAGATAAAGCAATTGAGAGCAAAAGAGATTAAGTAGTTTGTTCAAGGCCTAATAAATGGGGAATCCTAAATTATAAGGGCAAGGGCAAGATAGGATAGAGTTGCATGTACATGTAGAACTTAACAAATGTGTGGCTGTAAAAAGGAAAAATCAGTGTTTTTTTTTCAGGTAGTCTATAAAATGCATGGTCCTCACACAGAAAGTGACAAGGCTCAGAACAAAAGTATGAAAGGTTTTATGAGTCTTTTTTTTTTTTTATAATAGGAATCTTTAAAAAAAATTTTTTTTGTCCTTATAAAAAGTAAAACTGCTCAAATAGAAGAATACAAATAGTATAGAAGACTATAAGAAGAAAACATTTTTAGTACCTCATCCAAACATGTATGTTACCATTTTTGCATGTTTCCTCTTAGCTCCTAAGTTTTTAAAAATTCATACTTTATTATGGAAAACTTACAAACAGTTACAAAAGTAAGAAGTACAGTGAACTCATAATTCTCTTCACCCTGCTATAAAAACTGTCAACTCATGGCCAGTCTTATTTTGTCTAAATCTACACCCACTTCCTCTTTCACTGGATTCTTTTGAAAGCAGAATTTAGGTCAAATGATGATATCTGT